ATAAAAATAGCTTATCCTAAGCTACTAAATAACTATGCTGCTATCTAGAGCATAATCGGCAAATTTTACCTGTGATAAGACAAATAATATGATAAGACCAGGCATTAGGAGGTGCTGTGAATTTTCTGTTGAGTTCCAGTTCCTGAGTTAGAGCTTTAATGAGTCACACTGAATTCTCAAAGTCCAAGAGGTCCAACTTCAAACGCCAAGAGTCTCATTTTTTTTTTTACTTTACACGTGACCTTTAGTGATGACCCTGGCAGAGGTTATATACCTTCTGCTTTTCAGGTAGAACACCAGAGAAGCAGAATGTCAGAACTTATTATTGCAACAATCTGCAAGCCTAGACACACTGAACATAAGTTTATGATGGCCTAGTCTGGGCTGTCCTTGGTCACATAGACTTACGTTTTGTCATTGTTTGTATAATGACTTTCTTTGTACAGTGTTTTCTACCTGTATTACTTATGTACCTGCAGTGTCTATGCAAAGGCTGAATCAATGTGAACTTACAGAAGAATTTTACTGAATATCTGTCTAATTATCTACTACACATTCCTTACCAGTGGCCTCTGTCAATGTGATAAATGTCGTACTTAACCTTCCAAAAAACTCTCAAGTATTTGTTGTTCCAGAATTGTTGCTTCATGAAACGTTGAAAACAGACCAATTAAGTAATGAACTCTCAAAATAAGACCTCGTATACACTTAACAATTAAATGTTTATTTGGTGTCTGGTTAAGCAAGTCCTTCACACTGATATGTTGTAATGGACGAACACGACGCTACCAAACAGTAAAGCAAGAGGAGACATGCAGTGATTGATCTTGAGTCAAATGTTTCGTGACAAACCTTGCCTAACAAGACCTGCCTCATCACAAGAAGCAGTGCCAACATGTAAACCTCATTCAATTTAACTCAGACCCAGAGTTCATGTTAACCTCACACGATCTACCTGGCCTTGTTTGTGACATAGAGAGCAGTCAACAGCCCTTTGTTTTCAGCTTAACCGTTTAGATGTGAGTATAACTCTTATGACAGTTCTCTACTAGAATGATCGTATCTTCAGAGAGTATTTACATGTTTGGATGGGTATATTTTTTACCTTGGATGAAAATTTCGCAGTGTTGGATCTCAGGTCCCCAATACCAATACATTATACAGTAAATGTTCCCCGCTTCCTGCCAGACACACGGGGTTTACCTCCGATGCATCTCGGCTTAAAATCGTACATTAAGGACTCCAATACCTGGGTACCTAAATACCATGGACGAATCAAATGAAGTACCTTTTCACAGTTTTAAAAAGGAGGTCATAATAATAATAAATTTACCACAAAAGGAAATTGTTGGCAGAATTTTAACACTTACATAACAAAGCACACTGTAAAAGCCTTTTATATTAAAAAAAAATCATTTGCATATTAGGAAATTGCAAATGGAAGCACTTAAAATATTATTCACTATAATCACAATCCCAGTCAAGATTAAGGTTTATTATGAATGAAATCCACCAACTGGCAACTCATAACAAGCTATCCAACTACAAGGCATCACCTGGAGTGTTTGTGAGCCACGAGAGTTTGTCAGCCACGAGTGTTTATGAGCCACCTGGGTTTGTGAACCATGACTGTTTGTGAACCATGAATGTTTGTGAGACACGAGTGTTTGTGAACCATTAGTGTTTGTGAACCATGAGTGTTTTTGAACCATGAGTGTTTGTGAACCATGAGTGTTTGTGAACAATGAGTGCTTGTGAGCCATGGGTGTTTGTGAACCATGAATGTTTGTGAGCCATGAATGTTTGTCAGCCATGAGTGTTTGTAAGCCACGAGTGTTTGTGAGCCTTGACTGTTTGTGAACCACGACTGTTTGTGGGCCATGAGTGTTTGTGAGCCATGAGTGTTTGTGAATCACGAGTGCTTGTGAACCACAAGTGTTTGTGAGCCATGACTGTTTGTGAATCACGAGTGCTTGTGAACCACAAGTGTTTGTGAGCCATGAGAGTTTGTGAACCATGAGTGTTTGTGGGCCATAAGTGTTTGTAAACCACAAGTGTTTGTGAACCACGAGTGTTTGTGAATTACGAGTGCTTGTGAACTACAAGTGTTTGTGAGCCGTGAGTGTTTGTGAACCACGAGTGTTTGTGAACTACGGTTGTTTGTGAACCACGAGAGTTTGGGACACACGAGTGCTTATGAGCCACAAGTGTTTGTGACCCACGAGTGTTTGTGAACCACGAGTGTTTATGAGCCACGAGTGTTTATGAGCACAGGTGTTTGTGAACCACGAGTGTTTGTGAACGACATCAGTTTGTTAACCACGAGTGTTTGTGAACCACGAGTGTTCATGAGCCACAGGTGTTTGTGACCCACGGGTGTTTGTGAACAACGAATGTTTGTTACCCACGAGTGTTTATGAGCCACAGGTGTTCGTGACCCACGAATGTTTGTGAACGACATCAGTTTGTGAACCACGAGTGTTTGTTAACCACGAGTGTTTGTGACCTACGAGTGTTTGTGATCTCTGAATAATCATACTATTCCTTTTATATAGCCTATACAATATTATAGAATTGGCTGCAGGTCGCAAAAGTATATTTAATGGAGAAAAAAGGTAATTTCCGGGACTTGTAAAATCTAATAGTGTAGCGAAATATCTATACACACATTGTCAAATTGATAGATAGTCTTGGCTCCTTGACTTATGGTCTTACTTGGCTCAGAGTTTCCTGTTAATATCTCATCGATAACTCCCCAAGCTCGTGAAGCCATCTTCGTTGCACGGCGTTCCTACATCTTAATAATCTGTTCATTTAACATTACGGCAGCAGGAGTGACTCTGTTAGGAGAAGACTGAGTACGTTCACAAAATAAAACCCGCTTTATAGATAATAGGCAATGGAAAGGGATGTGTTTTGATCTTAGCATATGGAAGAGGAAGATTGCTCACACCTATTGATGAACAGAGCTCACTAGGGACAGTCTGAGTGATTTTGATGGTATTCAGTTCAATGAGCCAAATTTGGGAAGCAGATTGCATAACAAGACTAATTACAAAATTCTCTCCGCCAGTGTAAACAATTCATTAATTGTTTTTTGGACACTGGATTGCAGCAGATATTTTAATCTTGGTTTGGTCTAACAACATAATGCAACCTGTATTAATTTCTGCACTGGTTGAATACAGCGATAAATTATCAACATGGTTTCAGTGGTTACTGACACCTAGCCTAACCCGACCTGGAGACGTACTGTTGCCTTATACGATAGCGACATGACCTTATAAAAGGATTTCATGTGCTTCCGATTAATTATTGAATAAAGTAAATACAACTAGAAATAGAGAGGCAATTTACATACTTCCACAATTATTCCAACATTACATACCTCAGTAAATACAAAACCTATGTTGACTGACTGCTTTAGAGAATAAATAAAACATGGTGGATACTTTCCTCGGAGTGATATAAAGTACAATGTTCATTACTGAATTTCAAAGTAATTCCAAACATAAATAGTGTAGCTTTTATTTTGAAAAACCAATGCAGCTAAGTACATACGAATTAAATTTCCGTAAGAAATGGATTTTTGTTCAAACTGAAGCTATTTAACAGTTTTATTTCTATAATAAGATAATTTATTTTTCTTGTAACATAAATTAATGTGTACTGTACGTATCTATAATTTTATGCATGAACTTTATGAACGAGTTTCAACATAACATAGTTCACCTTACTGATATAACGTAGGCTATTGAGTTCAACAGAAGCCAACCTATGTACTGTACAGTACAGTAATAGGTAAATCTCATACACATTAAATGACACATTTTAAAGGTTTCAGTTGCCAAATAAGATAACAAATATATTCCCAATATATTCCATACAAAAGCTAATTAAATCTTCATCCACACAAACAGTATATATATATATATATATATATATATATATATATATATATATATATATATATATATATATATATATATATATATATATATATATATATATATATATATATATATATATATATATATATATATATATATATATATATATATATATATATATATATATATATATATATATATATATATATATATATATAATATACTGTGTGTGTGTGTGTGTGAAAAATAATGACACATATTTACTCTGACTATACTGAATTTCCTACTAATGTTGATGTCTATGATACCAAAGCTATTTTTCACAATTACAGACATTTATATGAATGTGTATTAATACTACGGGGCATCCTTACAGTTGAAATGTTGTGTTACACGAATTTTGTTCAATAAACACAATAAAGTTTCAGACACTACTATGTGGTCAGCAAAATAATGTTGCCACTTGCTACTATGTGGTAACACTTACAGGAAAAATAAGAATGTCATAATTTATGAAGGACGCGTTAAGCGAGTAGTTATCATACGCTTGGCAGCACACTGCAAGTTAATGGGAAACAATTTTCTCAATGAGTTAGTTGATCAGAGAAGCGTTCATGAGTTGCTGTAGCGGCCGAGGAAAAATACAGGTAGGAACATCACCTGCTATTACTCTTATAGAGTTCAGTGTTCATATACACACATGGGAGTCATTACTGTAAACTTTCAATCCATGTAAGAACTTCCTGTCATCCTTGTTGAACTATAACTACATAAATTATAGTAAAGAGGAGTATAACATCCTCTTACGAGTCAGGTCAGAGTAAGTAATGATTATAGATATGGTAACCTGTCTGTCAGCGACCGAGACTCAACTTACACCAAAAATTACAAACAATTATAAAAGTTTTTCAACATAATACATCGATTGTCCTATTGGGAACGTTACAACATAAAGTAATATGCTAACTTTAATTAACACACATTAAGTTCAGGGATAATATTCTCACCCAAATGTTACCTCTCTATACATCATGATTTTCAACACTATTTTGAAAGCCTCAGGAAGGAAAACAAATAAATGTTCACCTGAGAAGATGTCTCGGTACTTACTTTTCTTTATCTCAACACCGCTGGTAACGGTGAGGACATTGGAGAGGGTGAGAGTGAGGGCCAGGCACCACATCCTTCAGGAGGGCAGCAGAGGATGGCCTTTGGGACGCGACCTCCCAGAGTGGATGTCCTTCAACACACACAATCACTCCACTTTTGTTGACTGCTGTTACTTCACTTCCTTACTTGTATTTATTCACTAAACAATTTCAATATATATTTTTTTCTTCAATATTCTTTATTTTTCCACTTGTTGTTATTTTTCTTCACTTGTATAACAAGTTTTACAGGTTGCATATTTTCCTGAATGTAATACTAATATCTGTCATGTCCACTGTCCTTGTTCACACAAATAAAAATAATGATATATATATATATCTTGATAAAATCACACGGGAAAAGGGAAACAACGGAGCACCTTAGCTTTCGTCTTTATTCAAGACATCTTCAGAGGCAACAGCAAAGCTAAGGTGCTCCGTTGTTTCCCTTTTCCCGTGTGATTTTATCAAGATTTATCTTATCCACGTTTTCATTGTGGATCTACATGAAATATATATATATATATATATATATATAATGTATATTGAAGAAAAAACATTATATAAGTTCTTTCGTGAGTACAGATACGGCGAAAAAGGCAACTTTTACTAAAATGTTTGCGCTTTTACTTAAAATTTCTAAAGCTCATTATAAATTATTTCTCGTGTAAAAATATTTTTACACAAAAACCTAAATTCACAATAAGGACAGAGTAAGATTCTGCTAATGACGTTAATAAATGTAATTGCAAATCTCATTTTGATGGTTGAATATTAATGAGTTCGGAAATATACTTTGGTTTACGGAAATACTGTATATTGAGCTTAATAGGTTTCATAAAATTTGAGCATTGTTTAATATAAATAAATAAATATTAATAAATTAATATATATATATATATATATATATATATATATATATATATATATATATATATATATATATATATATGTGTGTGTGTGTGTGTGTGTGTGTGTGTGTGTGTGTGTGTGTGTGTGTGTGTGTGTGTGTTCCTTCCATATAAGTGTAATATAGTATTGCCAGAATACACATGACTAACACATACTGAATTATAATATTTACCCTTAGTGTGTGTACAGTCCAAATGTTAATATGACATCGTAAAAGATCTTAATATTTGTTTAAGAATTTTAACATACTTGACTAAACAACAGACTGGTTCGTACCTCTCTTTGAAAGTTCCTGTTTTCTGTTAAAGAGAGAGAAAAATCATTGCAAAGAAGTAAACAATAATTTTCTATCATAAAGTACAACTTAGCTCCTCTGTTATAGAGTAAATGAAACTGATGTTAACTTAATAAGAATAAAAGGGTCATCTATCAATGCTCAGAACATCTCTCAAGACAGATGTCACACCTCCAAGAAACACATCACTGATCTCACCTCAATCTCTTTACAAGACTAATTTCCAATTCGTATAATAGTAGATCCATTAAATAAGTCGTTTCCAAACCACTAGTAATAGAAGAATGGATTATCCTTTAATATTGAATGTTTTAGTAAATCTCATCTTCCAGTGGTCTGCGACACTCACTGGGAGAGGAGGAGGAGGAAGAGAGAGAGAGGGAGCGAGTGAACGAAGACGCGTGTACACCACCCGTTTACCAGAGCCAGACTGAACCCGCAGTTCTCACACACCCTCACCCAACCCTGACTGCCACGTCTCGACTGCCGAGTTTTATTCATTATGAAGCCTCTCTAAGTACATAACGAGTACGAAAAGTTTTTTATTTGTATTTTTACCCTTTAAATATAATTATATTCAGAAATTTGTTGAAGAATAATTCAAGAATGAGACTCAAGGATGAATAATTGTTGTTGACGGAAGAATGTTTATTTCCGATATGTCTAACTGGGTTAACTCTGCCATGTGACTGTACTTCTGCAATTCTTTTTGTTGAGGGACAAGAAGGGGGAAGGAAGTAGTAAGAGCGATGAGGCACCTTAGACATACCTGCTGCAAGATCGAAAAAAAATACCTTCTTTATACTGCAGAATTAAAATACATATTAGTTAAATATTTTCAAAGATAAACACGATTCATTGAGAGAGGTTTCAAGTATATGCAGAGTCCTGACTCCTTCGTCAAGTGTACTCAGTAAAAGACGATATACATTTCGACTGAGTGAGTATTTTGTGTGTGTGTGTGTGTGTGTGTGTGTGTGTGTAACGCCTTTCATTAAATGTGTATATCCGTGCTTAAATATATATTAGTATATACGTGATAAATATGCGGTGATTTTATATTATTTTCACCCTATGAAGCAAAGAGGACATCACTGCTACTCGTCAAGATTACACTGTTTACTCTGCCCAGCACTTGTTCACTCGAGTGGCGTCAAAACAAGCAACGTGTAGAATGGTGTTCGTTTTTAGTTTTTCAAGTTATGAATTTTGTCCACTGCTTCGATAATTTTAAGAAGAAGAAATATTACAATAACCTGTAATAGCATAATGAGTCAACTTATTCACATTTAAGTTCTTGTGTTCAGGTTTTACGTATTACTGTCATCAGGCTCTTAGTTTCGTGCGTCTGTCTGTTGTAGTGTTTGTTGTCCGGGTGAGCTTAATGGTTCGTGTACCAGAACAAGCAGAGAGCCGCACTCCCACCTTCTTCACTGAGCTGTTAATTGCGAAATCAATATTGCGCTGCGGCAACTGCTTGTGTATTGGCTGATGTGACCAGCATTAATGTCCTGATATGTATTGTATTAATTTGACAATTTGAATGTTTGTTTTAATTATGGTTGCGATAAAATATTTCAATAAACTGTATTTACGGTTTTAACACTGTATCAGTCTTGTTGTACTAGTTTGGAAAAGTAATTTGAGTTGATCTTTTTTGTCCAGGGGAAGGAAGCCGATTCCATGATTAATTACCCCTTTATTCTTAATGAATCATCCTTCACGGGTCCAATTATTTGTATAGCAGGAATCTGAGAATCTGCGGTCTGCAGGTGTGACTCTAGACAACCTCCTGCTTGGGTATCGAACTCGGGTCCTAGTATGAGATATGAGCATGCTACCGCTGTGTCAATGATATGATTTAAGGCTTTTGAGTGGTAATCTAGGAGTTGTGTAATAGTTATGAATTTCTTGAATGTTACATAATTTATATATTCTATTGGTTAGGATAAGTGGATTGAGCTAAATAAAACATTTTAATAGAATAGACTTAAGAGCGCTGCTTTATATTCAGAAGAGAAAAAATAGTCTTAACCACTCAATAGATTCGAATGTCAGTGGACGAAGAACAGAGAACATGCGGATGGAATACTAAGATATTAAGAGAAGAAAAGGTGAGAGAGCGAGAGAGAGAGAGAGAGAGAGTTAAGGAAACAAGCACAAATATGACCACTGACAGACACAGATAGTGTTCATCAAATTTCACTATGCATATCACTATGGTCAGTGAGCGTAGTGACAGCGTTTGTGGGTGTCAGCGAGCTGCCCTCAAACCTCCATGTTTGCACACAATTAATGGGTGGAGGGCAGGGGGTGAGTGGCAAGGGGTAGGGGACGCTTCGGTTGGACCCATCTACTCAGCTAACCAAAAGGCATCGATCTAACATTAATGTATCCTAATCGGGTTCTGGTACGTTGAGTCCTCGGGAGAGTAACATGATGCCTTCTACCTCCGTGATGCGGTAGTATACACATTAGTTCTTAATGACCGTGCATTGGAAACCATACCTTCACGGTCTGTATACACTGTATACCTGCGTGTCTAGAAACATGCTGAACTGTATTCCCAAATTGTCGATTTTACTAAATAATAATAATAATGATGATGATGATGATGATGATGATGATGATGATGATGGTGATGGTGATGGTGATGGTGATGGTGATGGTGATGGTGATGGTGGTGGTGGTGGTGGTGGTGGTGGTGGTGGTGGTGGTGGTGATAATTATTATTATTATTATTATTATTATTATTATTAGTAGTAGTAGTAGTAGTAGTAGTAGTAGTAGTAGTAGCTTTCCTTAGCTGCCTTACACTCACCCGCTTACAGCTGGGTTATGAAAAGATTTTTCTCCTCACGGATGATGGGTGAAGCCAGCCACTTCCCGCCATCACATGTAACGGGATTACCTCGACTTATGTTGTGCTGCTGGCGAGAAGCAACCAGTAAAGCTTGTTGAGGAAACATAGTAATACCGGGACTTCAGGTCTCTCATGATCCATTTTTTCTCTCCCAGCTTAACAGGTTGTCCCAGTCCCTCATGATTAAAGAATGGTGGCAGTTTACCCACATAAACAATGCTCTTTTACCCAAATGAATCGCGCCAATAGACGACAAAATGTCACATGTCGTCGCGGGTGTGGAGAGAAACACACACACCTTAACAGAGACGGCGCTTTAGGGCTAACACAGTAGAGGAAATTGTTTACATTGCTTAACCTGCGATCATCACCTCTAGTAATATCCTTATAGGGAAATTTAATGTCCTTTACTGTTGGCGATGTCAGCTTTAAAATAGTTGAAGAGCCATAGCCACTGAAGAGTATCTAGAACCTTCTTGTTGATGCTCAGCTGTTTCAAGTTATACCTGAACCAAAAACAGTAATAAAAAAAATTATCTCGTCATTGTATTTGATTTTTTTTTCCAGTTCACGTCGGTAGTAGTAAGAGTCAATCAATGTACTTTGCTAATCTAGTAAATGTAATGCTATGCATAGTTTCGGTTTTATACAATTATCCTCAATGTATCAGAGATCCTAAGTCAGTGGTCAGTTGAATTAGGTGTTCGGTCATATCCACAAAATTGTTTTGTATTTTATGAGCGATCAGTAATTTCTACAACAACAGACTTCAATGATGTCCTTCCTATAGTATTGACAAGTACAGTACATTACTAACTATTGCACTAATGGTCAGTGTTAGCGGTGGCCTCATTTATGCTAGGTTAATGGAATAAGGAAGAGGGGGAAGAGAAAGGGAAGACAAGGGAAATGTACAAGTGCATCATGGAAAATGTAATAATATAGCAGTTTAATAAAGACAATAGGGGAGCAAGTCATAACTGTAACTACTAAGACTCGAGGATCATTAAGAGATTGAGAGTAATTTGGCGAGCACTTGTTGACTCGTAATGCCTGTACAGACAATCACTGAGGCAGTACTTTACCTGAAGGTGATTTAAGCATTGAAGATATTAAAGGAGGGGTTAGTAAAGAAGATATTAATAGACTCTACGATCATCAAGAAAAAGACAATTAATTACAGCGACACAAATAGTAATGTTCTCTGATGTTATACAGTTTCGTTGCATTATCACTCGATCATCACACATTCCTTACCAGAATGACGTCGTAGGAATGCAATGTATTCACGTAGAGGCGACCATCTGTGTAAGTTCCAACCGATAAACAATCATCTACAGTATTCACCTACGATAACAAGAGAGCCATACAAGAACTCACAATAGAAGAATGCACTGAGGTCCTTAAGTGGGCTAAGCCGAATGAAAAGAATAATTGGGGTTATATGACTGTTTTCGTTGGGGTAAAATACGCAAAATATGTGTTGTTTTTTTGTATAAATTATAGAAAGTATGTTGTGGTGCCAGATATCTTTGGGCTAGTACTGAAAACTCTGCAAAAAATATATCACTATGTATTTTAAATTGATATCTTCACATAATTTATATATATATATATATATATATATATATATATATATATATATATATATATATATATATATATATATATATATATATATATATATATATATATATATATTATTTTTTTTTTTTACAGCAGAACAGGATTAATGATGGAAAGAAGAATTGAACAAGCGAATGTATAGGGCGGGGAGAGAGGGGTATATAGGACAAGGAAAGAGAGAGGTGTATTGGCAAGGAGAGAGAGAGAGAGAGAGAGATGTGCATGCGACAGGCTGGGGGGAGCCATGATATTTGAATAATTAATTGCTATTTAATGTATAATTTTTCTTAGAAATAAATGAAGATATTACTGAAAATGACCAAGATTAAGTGACATTACTTGAAGTATCTGTAATATGAATAATTAAAGGATTATGATAGATTAATAATTGAAAAAAAATCTTAGCTCATTACACTCCTCATGGCGACGAGGCTCTCCTACAGGTGTGTGAGGTAATTAACATCAGCTTTAGTCTTGACAATATAAGGAAACTCTGTGACTATTGAACCTGGCTTATGGTGATTAAACCCAATTAAAAGGAATTACTACACTAGTTAAGGTTGTGACAGCTGGCGAGACAAACAAACGCTACTGATGGACTACCTGACGACAAACACACCAGTGTCGAACTACCAAATGACCGACGAATGCTGTTGAGAAACTATCACAAAACAAGCAAACATTTACTGATGAATTACCAAACGACAAACACACACCAATAATGTACAACCAAACTACAAACACACACACTGCACGACAACTATCCCTTAACAAACACAACAAATGAAGTATCACAAAACAAATGAACGCTGCAGACGAAAGACAAATTTTACCTTGAGTTAATGAGACAACAGATGCTCTTAAATCACAAAACGCCGGAGGAGCTTCGACTACTAAGACACCAGGATATAATTTTAACACGA